GAAGGGAGAAAGGAATCTTTAAGTTGACAAAATGTGGGTAATCCTGGTAATTCAGTTCTTCAGAGAATCCTTTATTCAGAGCAGTGCACCTTAAGTTTATCTGTGCTGAGAAACTGAGTTCTTAAACTTGCTCAGATATGCATTTTGTAATGGGACCATTCATAACATTGTCAAACTAACAATGAGCATTTCGAATAGATAGCCCCATTTTAAAGAAAAGAAAATGCAGAACCATGCAATGCCAGGTACATAAGCTAGTCTCCTATAAAATTCAGGGTAAGAACAGATTCTGAGTTGTTTTTTGAAACATGAATGCAAGTTAAACTTCAGAATCAGAATTACAAGCAACTTTCAACTTTGAAATGAAGGTTGAGTACAAGTGCATGTTTTGTGTTTCTGTTGAGTGGTACTACAATACGCTCAATGTAGAGATGAACAAAATGTGAGCTCATTGAGATGCTTCAATGTACCAACTTCAAGGTTGTCCTGACCTGGGTACATATCAGATTGCAAGGATTTCTCCCCCTCAATCTTTTTGTATAGATTTTGTTTTTTAAAAAGAAAAAATATGCATTATTTAATGTGCCTTTAAAAAAATACTTGCATCTCCAAGCCCACTGGAAAAAAAATGAAGTTTTCAAATATTTAAAATGCTTAAACATTTTTTTTCTGTGCATTTTTCAAATGTACTTGTTTATTTAATGTATATGAGTGCATGTTACTTGCAGCACAAATCAAGCTCGCAAGAGTTTGAATTTTCTTAAAAGCTAACTCCTATATCAGGGTTGAACTCTCTCTCTCTCTCTCTCTCTCTGTAATGCTTAACTGTGTTGTATTGTGCAACTCTTGTTTTGAATGGCAATATTTCACCAAATTTGCATGTGCAGCCATGTACAATTGCACCTCTGTGTTCTTGAACTGAATACAAGTGTTCTACATAAGACAGAAATACTAAACATTTTCCTCAGTGAACTTAGAGGATTACAACATATGTATCTTTGATTTGTCTTTCTCCCCTGTTGTTTATATTTGTTTATATTTGAAACACTCCTGGCATCTTTCCTGGTCATTTTCAAATGTGCTAATGTAAACATACATTACTGGCATTTGACAAAATATGTCTTCTTTAGGAATCTCTTAGGTCCTCCAGATGATACTTTGGTATTCTTCTGCCAGAGTTGAACTGGAGGACCTAGAAAATGTCTAGAGAACATATCTCTCTGGACATTTTCTTGGGCTGCCAACATGACTCTTATGGTAACTTCCTGAATATTTTGTTTCATTTCAATAGAATTCACAAATACCATTTTTTTTCTGTTTCCATGATAAATTCAGGACGTTATTCTCTGTATAGATACTGGATTGTACTGTATTTGCAATGCTTTCAAGCTTAAGTTAGATCTTAAGTTTGCAAGCATACAGATTTTGCAAACTGGATTCAGGTCTGTGTTTGATTCATAAGGGTATGGATGGATATACATCTATCAAGCCCTGAGATTACCTACAGAGGCCTTCTTGTTTCTTGTAATTTGCTACATGGGAACATAGGAGGAGGTCTTCTCTACTGGGGTGTTCTGGTCAGAGAATATTCTCCTTTTGGAAGTCTGATTCTAGCACCAAGTTAAAATAGCACTTTTAATAAAAGCTTATCTTCCATATTAGTATATACATCTCTTGTATATTATTATATGTTTTAGTGTGTGTAAATCATTCCTTGTTGTTGTCATAAAGCCCAGTCTCTGAACAGGAGGTTAGCAAATGGTCCAAGTTTAGGCCAGAGAATCCAGTCAAGAGGCAACAACAGCAGGGAATAACACCAGAGAAATTGATAGTCCATTCCAAAGCCATTTCCAACAAAGTCTAGAGTCAAGGGTTAATCTACAAATCTAAATGCTAGAGTCCAAATAAATAGTCCACAGTCCAGATATCACCAACAACTCAAGGTCACAGCTACAAATGCTGAATTTACTGCCACCAAAAAGGAGCTACTTTTGAGCACCTTTTATGTTAGCTTCTCAGGTGTTGCCTATTGATAGCTCATTTATCTGCTAACTTGGAGAACCTGCACAGTTGAGTCTTCACCCTTCACAGATCCAAAGGAGCCAAAACACATAACCTTTCCTCTGGATTCTAAGATGAACTTGCTTGTATGTCTTCTGCATGTAGAGAAGTGGTAGATTTCTCCATAGGCTCTTCCTTCAAGCTTGGCTGAGGAAACTACTGAGATGTTGAGCACCACCTCTTCATCCTTGTTATCAGAACTATCCCATGACACCTGTTTAAATTGTTCTGAAATGATCTGCCCCGAGATCCTGCAATATAAATATTGCAATAAATAATGGGATAAATTTTGGTCTAAAAGGTACCACAGTGAATTTCCACAAGTGCTCCACTGGGCTAACTTTGTGTTAAGCAATGAATGTTAATTGGCCACATAGATAATTACATTCAAGGTGCAGTCTCGGCTATGTTTTCTTTAGGAGCTTGCAAGGTGAAGTCCCTTTGACCATAATTAAGAGGGATTGGCAATAAGCAAGACAGTACAAGTTGGAATCAACCAAGATGAATGCAGAGCATTAGCCATGAATAACAAAAACAGGTACCAATGCATACAGACTTTTTAAAAATCCCTAAACCATGTAATATTCATTATAGCAGTAACCTAACAAATAACATCAGCCTTGTAGGATATCATTGCTACCATCTGTGGGTAAGAGATAAGAAATGAGAATTAGATTTGTGATTATCATGGATAAATGAGGCATTTTTGTTCCTATCAGTTGTTCATGTATTCAATTGTAATTTATTTCTTTGCTCTGTCAAATATCTGCATCAGTTTGTTATGCAATGATCCTTAAATGGCACACATAAACACATATATATTAACACAGATTGCCCAAACACATATATTTCATGCAGTTTCCCCCAATAGATGCATTTACATAACCTCCAGCTAACCAGATTTCACAATGGCAGACCCAATTAATCCTGTCATCCCACTTCTTCAGCTGCTATAAAAGTGTATCTTTTTCTTACTTTTCCCTATGTCCTTCGCTGACATCAATTGCTGCAAACTCAGCTAAAAGTGGAAAAGGGGAAGCTCTTGATTAGACTCTTGAGTTTCAGTGTTCTTGCAGAGTTCATTAGGAAAAAAAGACTCAAGGCGCAATTACATTGTAGAATTAATGCATTTTGGCACCACTTTAATTGTGATGGCTCAATGCTATAGTAATGAGAGATGTAATTTTACAAGGTCTGTAGCCTTCTTGGCCAAAGAATGAAGATGCCTCACAAAAAAACTTTCAGAATTCCATAGCATTGAGCCATGGGAATTAAAGTAGTGCCAAACTGTATTAATTCTACTGTGTAGCTGCACCTGTAACAAACTCGGCAAGTGAAAGAGAGAGAGGCGAAATCTTTCCTTCCCTATAGGGTCAGACTCATTAATCATTTCTGCCATTTTGGTCACACTTTGATGTTATTTGGTCACATGTGCCCTATTTTTCACCTTGGAAATTTTAGAAGTTAAGTTTTCCTAATATCTGCCTTTTGTAGTACTCTTTCTCTGTAACTTTTTTCCAAGTACTGTTCCACTTAGCTGTTCCTTCCATTCCCTTCACTTGGGCATTCTAGTGTACATGTTGAAAGTTTTAGATGATGTGGGTTCCCCCTTCTCTCCCTTAGACACTGCTGATGTACCTTGGTGGTTGGAAGCTGCCTTCCATGGCTGGAATTCTGTTGGCATCTTATGTATGTGAACATGTCACAAAAGAGAAGGTTGGATATTTTGAACTGATGTATAACTATGCCTGGGATTCTTATTTGAAAATATTGCCATGGGGAAATGAAAAAAAAATCAAAGTTCTTCCTACTGCATGAACAGCTTTGAAAAATATGATTTTTTAAAAGAATGTCATCACAGTGAGGCATGATTTTCTCCCCTCTTCAAACTCATCACTTTTCTTCCCTCTTGACCCAGCCATCATCATACAACTATCAGAGTACAACCATACAGTCCTTGGCCGCTCACACTTTCCCTTTGGCCAGTACCTGGCGATGTAGGAAGGGGGAAGTGCAGTCGATCCATTTCCAGGTATGTTATGTTATGGAGTCTTATGATGCAGGCATTTTCAGAACCTCCTGATTTTCCAAAAGTCCCAGAGAATGATGGGACTGAATAATCCTCAGCTATCCATTACCCTCTCGTGAGTATTACCTGACTTGTCATAGGGGCAGACAGGGGACACCTAAGGATAATACTTAGGGGAGGTACCAAACTCCTCTATTATCCAGAAGTTTTTAAGTGAGGGATTAATAAGTATTACAAAGTATATGTAGGGTGATAATAGTATTTTTAGCCAACAAGTCCTGAAATCTCACTCTTCTTGAATCTTTTTTTTGTTTATTAGTTATATAGCCAAATCAAGTTTGTCTGTTTTAACCATTTCACAAACTTTTATGCTCTATTCAAAGTCTTTAAAATTATAGTTTTCTTGACATCCATTTTTACAGGACCCCCTTGTTGCCATCTGAGGACTGAGTCTCTTAATCTCCTCTTGAGAGATCCTACAGCTATATTTCTAAACATTTTTTTCTTGTTACACATCCAAAGGTCTGGTTTGTCTGTTTCCCCACATCAAGTTCCTGCATTGTGAGCCCCTCCATGAAATTTTGGATTTATTTATTTTGTATCAAAAGCACTGCATAAATTAGTATAAAACTGATAAAAATAGAAGGAGTGCAGGCGTCTAAATATCTTTTGACCAAAAACAGGCAACAGCAATGGCATTGTCTGTAGCTTCCAACAATTCTTCCTCATCTGTATGGACAAGCATACAGATGTGTATTATTTTGGATTATTTGTTGAAATTTTTTTTGGATCATCCCTTTTCATCTTTGGCCCAAATCAGGAGTGCCTCCAAGTCTGACTTGAAACGACCCTTGCAGACCATCCAACCATTTTGTCTGTTATTTTCCTTCCAGGACTTCCATCTGAGAATTACTTACATTGAAGATGGAGCAAGCTTGTATTCTGCTTCTACAAAGACTAGGGCATGGAGCAATGAAGTGAAATTATGGTAAGATAAATTTCATCTATACATTATTGACAACTTAATGATGGTAAGAGTTTTCAACAGTAGAGTACGCTATCTTGGAGTGTGATGGAGTCTTCTTCTCTGGAAGCTTTTACACTAATTCTGGATGGTCATCTGTTAGAGGTTGGATTGGAATCCATCAAATCTATGATTTTATAAACTTTCCATTATTTCCATCGTTAAATTATTTTTTTACTATTTCAGATTAATTTTATGTGAGTGTTTCTATGAGATTTACCAATGTAACATAGGTTAGTATATCATTCAGTCATTGAAAAAACATCCCTGATCTGTAACAAAAGATTCAGGAAAAGCAATGACATTTTTTCCTCTTTCACCTAAGTTCCAGCAAGAGAGAAAGCATTCTGATAGAGAAGCATTACATATCAAAAGGATTGACTCCACAATGAAAGGTGTCAAAAATTCTCTAGAAAAGTTATGTGGAAATGTCATTGGTATTGCTGACTTTATGCCATACTAGATGCAGGAAAACTATCTTTCACATGAAAAAGAGCTGATTTTTTTTATATTTAAGGCAGTCCACAGTTGAAGACTTTTTCCCTGATTGACTGCCTAGATTATATAAGTTAATAACTTATTCATTGACTAATTAAGTTTTCATAAGTGCACATACTGTAGGCTGTTTGAAGACATGAAGACACACACACACTGGATAGATGGATAGATAAAGAAATAGATAGGCATACGTTCTGGTGGAAGAAATCATAAAGTGAGTTGTACAGTTTTATTAAACTTCAGTAATGTAAATTGCAGATATCTTCAGCATTATAGCCCATCACGTAGTGGTTACATGTGTCTGCCATTCCAATTTTAGATGAATATTCACTGACTTAATTGTTGGTTGGTTTTTTTAAAACTATCTTTCCCAGGTAGCACCAAGGTTAACAACCATTTACTGCTTAATGAAATCAGTGGTTATGAGTGATGTAAAAGCCCCATCTTCCCTGTTTTCTCTACTTAGAGCTTTGAATGGAAGAAGAAATAGAAATGCATTGTTCAGGCTCATTTTCCTCTGATGTTACAGATGTGAGGCACAAGCATTCTTTGGCAGTCTTAGGAAACTACCATGATTCCATAATTTTGAGTCATGGCAGATCATGTTATAACAAACTGCATTAATTCTACAGTCTAGATGCGCCCAATTTTTATACCAGCAGATGTATGCAGATATAGTGCAGTGGTAGGTTTACATCACATTTCACCAAAAGCATCTTTAGCTAATAATACTTCATACAGAAGTTATAATAACTTTTGGCTGCAGAATGTGGAAAACATCCCAATGAAGTTCCATTTACACTACCACATAATGCTAAGGAGGGATTATGCTTTCATGCCAGTTGGCTAAAAGGAATTATGCCTTTATTGCCAGTTGGCTAAGAGGGACTATGCTTTAGTTGCCAGTTCAAATGTTTCCTCTATGCTGAAATTATTAGAAAACTTGGCCAGCAAAAGACTGTAAAAAAATAACATTCTTTTGGTGAACAAACCCAATCCAGACTTCCCAGAATAGTACTAAGATCATTTGACAGTATCTTTCAGAATGCACACCTCTAATTTTGCCATTTTTCTTAGCCGAAAAGTTGCATTCAAAAATATATGTATGCATATATATGAAGGAAATCATCATACAATGTATATATTTCATATGTCATGATCAGAATCCTGCTAAAGTTATTCATTGGTGAAAGCTGAAGCTAGCTCAGTGCATGCCATTTTGGGGATGTTGCAGAGGATATATTCAACACCTCTTTGTCCCTCCCCAATAGTCTGAGATCCTGGACTATATAACTGGAATCTTTATATGCACTATTTGTGATACACAGTACTTCATTTCGATAGACCCTAAATATGCAACCTAGTTCTTAAGTTTACTTTGGGGTTCACATTCATATATATAATTATACCACCTCGATTTCTGTAACCATATAGGGGTGGAAAGAACATTTGAAGTGTCATGAAATAAGAGAGTGGCATTCTCTACCAGGAGAAAGGTGGGATCAAGGAATGAGGGAGGGTTGTTTCTCAAGTGTCAAGAAAGTCCAATGAGGCAAATGAGGCAAATGCTGGCTAATACTCCAGGCCTGATGGGAAGCTGCTTTTTCACTTTCCTTCCCAAATCTTCAGAGAATTGTCTCTTCCTTGCTTCAGCACCCATAAGAGTTGAGCGAGTGTCTAGACTGGTAGTTGATGCTTCTGCCTTTGGGGAAGTGCAATGAGACAATAATTGAATGGTGTCCTGAGATGGTGGATATAAGTGATTTTAATGTTTGTGTATATTTATGGTTTTATATCCTGGTATTGAATGTTTGCCGTATATATGTTGTGCTTTGCCCTGAGTCCCCTGTGAGGTGAGAAGGGAGGAATAAATAAATAAACAATTTTGATCTCCTTGACATTTCTCCTTATTTCTCTCCCCTGTTTTGTTTTTGCCATGGCTCTAGTCATTATGTTATCTATCTCTCCAACTTCTCTACTGAGAAATCAGCTTCACTATTATGATTGCAGAACTGGAGAAGCAGTAGTTGGTGGGTGGGAAGAAAACCAAATATTTCAACTGCTTTTGCTGATTGTCGTACAGACACCATGGTCACATACACTCTCACTTTTTCCCATAGGGAGGCCCTGGTGGCGCAGTGGGTTAAACCCCTGTGCCGGCAGGACTGAAGACTGACAGGTCACAGGTTCAAAGGAGAGGTGGATGAGCTCCCTCTATCGGCTCCAGCTCCTCATGCAGGGACATGAGAGAAACCTCCCACAAAGATAATAAAAACATCAAATCATCCAGGCATCCCCTGGGCAACGTCCTTGAAGATGGCCAATTCTCTCACACCAGAAGTGACTTGCAGTTTCTCAAGTCACTCCTGACACGACAAAAAAGAAATTCCCACAGCTATGTGAGTAAGTCAGGAAATCTGTAATTGGGGCTTCAAAGCACTGAAGTTATCTGGTAGAATCTTTTGAAATATGGATTAAACTCTAGAGTGAATTTGCCATCAGGCTCTGGAGGTCACAAAGCCTCATTGCATACATAGGCAATTCCTGAGTTGCAAACACCTGACTTCATATGACTCTTAGATACAAATGGTGGTAAGACAACAGGATGTGAGACGAAATCTATCCCTAGGATGGGAAATTCACTTCTGGAAGAGTTATCATGTGGAAAAAGTGTCAGTGAAGCTGTCTCAAAAATTATTGTTTCCACAACAACCCAAAATTTTCAAAATCCAATTGTCATAGTAACAGAAATTGAGGTGAAATCTTCTGGACATGGGCACAGAGAGAAAAACAAAATTACATGGTGTTAACCCTCCCCTATGCTATCCAAAACTTTAAAAATGGCTGGAGTTACATTTTAAAAAGGTATGCATTTTGACTTACATACAAATTCAATTTAAGAACAAACCTACATAATCTATCTTGTGTGTAATCTGGGAACTTCCTGTAATGTGATTTTCAATTGTTGTTGTTTATTCATTCAGTCACTTCTAACTCTTCATAGTCTCATGGACCAGCCCACTACAGAGCTCCCTGTCAGCGGTGGCCACCCCCAGCTCCTTCAGAGTCAAGCCAGTCACTTCAAGGATATCATCCATCCATCTTGTTCTTGGTCTGCCCCTCTTCCTTTTTCCTTCCTTTTTTCCCAGCATCACTGTCTTCTCCAAGCTTTCCTGTCTTTGCCTCTAATATCCTTCCCTCCATTGAGCAGTCGGCTTTTATTTTCTGAAGTATGGACTGGTTTGATCTTCTTGCAGTCCAAGGCCCTCTCAGAATTTTCCTCCAGCACCACAGTTCAAAAGCATCTCAGCCTTCCTTATGGTCCAGTTCTCGCTTCCATAGGTTGCTATGGGAAATAAAATTACTTTAACTATGCAGATCTTCGTTGCCAGTGTGATGTCACTACTCTTCACTATTTTATCAAGATTGGTCATTGCTCTCCTTCCAAGAAGTAAACATCTTCTGATTTCCTGGCTACAGTCTGCATCTGTAGTAATCTTTGCACCTAGAAATACAGAAATTCTGTCACTGTCTCCATGTTTTCTCCCGCTATTTGCCTGTTATCAATTAGTCTGGTTGCCATAATCTTGGTTTTTTTATATATATTTAACTGCAACCCAGCTTTTGCACTTTCTTCTTTCACTTTGGTTAGAAGGCTCCTCAGCTCCCCCTCGCTTTCAGCCATCAAAGTGGTGTCACGTGCATATCTAAGATTGTTAATGTTTCTTCCAGCAATTTTAACTCCTGCCTTGGATTTGTCAAGCCCGCACATCACATGATGTGTTCTGCATACAAGTTGAATAGGTTAGGTGAGAGTATACAGCCCTGACATACTCCTTTCTCAATCTTGAACCAGTCTGTTGTTCCATAGTCAGTTCTGACTGATTTTAAATTATTTGAAACCATACATACATGTACAGGTTTGTGATGAATTTTTCTAGTAGTTTTTGTTGGATGCCTTCAGGTCATTTCCCACAGCCCTAAGGCAAGCCTGTTGTGGGATTTTCTTGCCTATATTTGTTAACAGGAAGTTTGCCTTTGCCCTCCTCTGAGGTTGAAACAGTGTGACTTTCCCAAAGTTATCTAGGCAGTTTCCATGGCTGAGCAGATAGTCAACCCTGGTCTTTAGAGTTATAATTTAATGCTCAGGTCAGTACACTGCATTGGATCTTTGGTAACAGATCCTTTTTTTACATCCCCTCCCAGAAAGCCTGTTAAGCTGGGGCCAGTCAGATTAAACCTCTGTTAGAGTCTAATCCATTGAGTATTTTGAGCAGTTCTGAGTCTTTTAAACTAAGGATCCTTACCTTGAGTTTATGGTTCTCTCCTTTGTGTTTACTTATACACAAGTCTGATGAAACCTTGTAAAATAGCTGAGGAACATAAGATGCATCTTAGCACCTATGTAGTATTTCTTTGGGAAGATTTAATGGTGAATTCCTTTTTCAAGCACTGCACCCAAATAG